ATGCAGAATATGATAAGATGAACGCATGCCCGACGACTGAAATTTAAGTGTGCTCTGCCCAATCCACAAGAAAGGCGACCCCGCCATTCGCGCCAACTACCTATCAGCCCTCTAACATAGGTTACAAGGTCTTATCGAGCGTATTGTGTGATAGACTGAAGCCCACCGTCAATGAACTGATTGGGCCTTATCAGTATGACTTTAGGCCTGGAAAATCCACCATAGACCAGGTATTCACAATGCGCCAAATCTTGCAAAAGACCCGCGTGAAAAGAATCGACACTCACCACCTATTTGTCGACTTTGAAGCCGCTTTCGACAGCACTAAAAGGAGTTGCCCATACGCCGCTATGTCTGAATTTGGCATTCCCGCCAAACTGATACGGCTGTGTAAAATAACGTTGACCAATACCACCAGTTATGCGAGAATCAGGAAAGACCTCTCCGAGCCGTTCGCCACCAAACGGGGCTTCAGACAGGGCGACTCTCTTTCATGTGACTTCTTTAATCTGATGTTGGAAAAGATAATAAGATAATTTACTACAAGAGCGTGCAATTGCTGGCGTAACACCGTGCGAAAAAACCCAAAAATTTTTAAAACACACGAAAAAATCAATATATCCACAAAGCTAGGAGCCAAATATAGTATAACTCGTTTTTAGTTTTTCTCTCTGACGTCAGGATTTTTTTTAAGGACTTCGAAAACTAAGGATATAGGAATATCCTTGGATATTTTCAATATTTATTTTTGAGAAAAATATATGTCAAGCACTAATATATAAACTACCACATCCTCGAATTTCGTTCTACTAACTTTATTAGTTTTAGTTAAAAAAAAATTTACACTTCTCTTTATAAGATACTAGCGGTACCCCGACGTGCTTCTCTACACCAACTATTGAAAAATATTGAAAAATGAATGAAAAATCCTGGAATTTTTCTATATGAAAATTTATCATTTGCTTTATTTCAAAATTTTTGATTCTTTATTTTAAATTCTAATCCAACACATTTGGATATACAACATTTTTTGTTTTTCCATCTTGGGCATGAATAAATAAAAAATTTGGAATGCCAACTCTTGAACAGGCTACGTACAGCTACCAATTGCAGTAATCTACCACAAATATTTCAAGAGATATACCAGATGAAAATTTTTGTTAGTATGGGTGGTGCCACGCCGCCCTTTCCGAATTCGGGGAAACTTAACACAAACCATCTGCATAATAGCCCCACTATGCCGTATAAATTTGGTTCAAATCTTGCATTTATTTTTTATATATAAGATGGGAGGTGCCACGCCCTCTTTTCTAATACCGCCCATTTTTCTCCATGAGTATGGAATTATTTGATATACCTCTATACCAATTTCCAGTACTCTACCACAAATATTTCAAGAGATATAAGATCTGCTTCAGTTGAAATCTGGCAGGTATTAATAGCAAAAAACCTAATTTAAATGTGAACAATTCAGTCGAAACTTTAGAAACTTTTATTTCTATTTAAATTAAAGATTTACAAACATTATTAGAATTAATTTCCACGTCGAAATACCCGTACTTTAGAGATGACACCCGCCATTAATATTTGGACATCCCTTTCGTTGATCGATTCAGCCTGTTTTCGCCACATTCTGCAGAACTGCGTTATTCTTGAAGCCGTGCATTTTGTTTTTTTTTTTCTAATTTTGATATCATATGGGCCCAATAACGCTCGATCGTTTGCAGCTCTGGGCAATTCGGAGGATTGTCCTCTTTTAGTACAATGCCGATTCCATTTTGTGTATAAAAATCTTGCGCTTTTTTGCACAATGGCTTGTTGCCAGCTCAGGCCAAAACAATACAGGCTCTCAAAACAACACTTCAGGTGCAACAACACGTTCAGAAATATTCGGATTCCTTTTCAAAGTCCTTAGAACATCCTTCTCCGCTATTTTATTTATACTGCCTGATTTTCCACCAGATTCCGCCTTTCTCTCAATGCTGTCATTTTTCTTGATATTTGACAATACATTTTGAACTGTCGACCTTCCAATTTTCAGAAATTTTACTAACCGACATTGGGAGATGTGTGGATTTTGCATGAAATCGTCCAAAATCAATTTCATTTGCAGAAATTCTTTGCTCTCCACATCACTTATTTTTAAAGTTACGTATATGAAACTTAACTGTAATAAAAAACAATGATATCAAAACCAGCACACTAAACAAACGGCTGGTCGAGTAGTCCATAACAAAGTTGTGCTGTGTAGAGTGCTGCCAGATTTCAACTGAAGCAGATCTTGCAACATAAAAATTTTAGTTAGTGTGGGAGGTGCCACACACCCTTTTACGAATTCGGGCAAACTCCACATAAAATATTTCCATGATGGCTCGAATATGCTATACAAATTTGGTTGAATTCGGTGAAGCCGTTCTCAAGTTATAAGCTAACTCACTAATTTTTATATATAAAATAGAGGCGGCACGCCCCCTTTTCCGAATTCAAGCAAACTTCACATAAACTATCTGCATGATAGCCCGAATATGCCGCATAAATTTGGTCGAATTCGATGAAGCCGTTCCCAAGTTATATGGTCACACCAAAAACGTTCACTTATTTTTATATTTTAGTTAGTATATTGTTTATATATACCCTCGTATACCTCGTATACCTACCATTGATATGTCTGCATACCAAATTTCAAGTTCATGTGACTTATGGTTCCGAAATTATAGCTGATAAAAAATTCCACGCCTACGGGATGTGCCACGCCCCTTCTACAAACTCGTTTATACATACCCTCCTCAAAGCACCTACCATGGAAATGTCTGCATACCAAATTTGGAGTTCGTTTAACTTATGGTTCCGAAGTTATAGCTGATAAAAAATTCCACGCCTATGTTAAGTGCCACGCCCCCTTTTACAAACTCCTTTATATATCGTCGCCTGGGTAAAAGATTGTCGTAAGCGCCATTTTTACGATTTTTAGTTTTAGATGCAGTTATATATTTTGAAATAAGATCTTTCGATTGGTGTTATCAGTTTTTAGATATCTCCTTTAGTTTCCGAGATATTGACTACAATTTTATCGATAATTTAGTAAAAATTTAATTAGTGATGCAGTCATATAAACCTAATCAATGTCTTAGAAATGGCGTTCTCCGTTTTTGTATGTCTCCTTTAGTTTCCGAGATATTGAGTAAAAAGTGTCGTTAATTTAGTAGAAAATTTGATCACATTTTGTCGTATTTCATACAAGTGGCTGTCGAATTGTGGACAAATGACGCTTACGACAAAATTTTACTAAAAAAAATCCTTCAAAAACTCAAAACTAATTAAAAATTAAAACTAAAAATTAAATAATTAGGAGTTTTGTGGACTAGTAACATTTTCAGAGACTTTGGAGAAAATCTATCTTCGCGTTTTTGAGAAATTGTATTCCAAACTTTAATCGCGATTTCCCACAACCTACGGAAATTAACATACGACAATCTTTTACCCAGGCGACGACATACCCTCCTATAAGCACCTACAAATTATATGTCTGCATACCAAATTTCAAGTTCGTCAGACTTATCGTTCCGAAGTTATAGCTGATAAAAAATTCCGCGTCTATGGAATGTGCCACGCCCCGTTTTACAAACTCCTTTATATATACCCTCCTACACAGAAAGAAAAAAGATAGGTTAATCTAACCGAAAAAGATTGTA